TATTTGCTGTCTATAGATTCATCAATCTTGGGTTTCATATACAGAAAAACATAGAACAAAAATTGAAGAGGGTTACCCCCAATGACAAAATACATCTGAGATAAGTCCCAATAGGAAAAAAACACAACACAGTGTTAATTTGCTTTTCACTAAAAAGAAAAAACAGGAGCAATCTGTTAATCTATTTGTTCATTTATGATAAATGGAAAATGTATACGTAATATTCGATGAATTCTTAATGGTAGAAAAACAAATTTGATCCTGGGAATTATTAATGTGAATAAACGTTCACTGACTTTGACAGGAACAAGAACAAAAGGCCGAAGAAGAGAGGATCCGGATGGAAAACATTCTGAGTGGAAACCCACTCCTTAACCTCACTGGCCCGTCCCAGCCGCCAGCCAACTTCAAAGTTAAGAGAAGGTACGCTACGTATGTAAAGTGAAGCATAGATACCGAGTAATAGTTGTACTCCAAAGTATGTGATGCAAAGCTTCTAAAATCTCACCTTCCACTGGTAATATCTCAGATTTTGAAATTAAGAAAGAGGAGATAATTATTTTCAGTATTTAATAGCATACAGTGTGCCTGATATTTTTCTAAGTCCTTGGGATAAAGGAATAAACTGAGTGCTTGACCCTGTGTGAGACTTACATTTCAGGTGTGTGTGTTGGAGACCACCAAAACCACCCTTAGATTTGGAGAGTCCTCGGGAGGACTCAGTGTGCTAAACATATCATTGTTCTCACATCTCAGATTAATAAGGAATAGTGTCTTCATAGTATTCTTGATAATAGCATCCTATTATTCCAATACAAAAGGAATGTTCTTGGTTTTCAGATATTTGAATTAGGGATAGTTCCAGAATAACATGAATTAGGAGTACCAGAATAACCTGCAAAAGAGTACAGTGAGAGTAATTCTAAGTTATTTATATCCTGGATGCTTGTGGCTGTACTGTTCCCTTTTGGGAGCCTCATCATTGTTTTGTTTGCATGAATATTTTTTCTTTCAGGTGGGATGATGATGTTGTCTTCAAGAACTGTGCAAAAGGTGTAGATGATCAGAAGAAAGACAAGAGATTTGTAAATGATACACTGCGATCTGAATTTCACAAAAAGTTCATGGAGAAATATATTAAGTAGTACAGTTTTATGTGCTCCGCGATTAAAAGTGTAAACTGTAAAGGAGTGTTCTGGCTTTATTCTAGTTAGGTTCCCTTGACTCCTCCTCCCTCCTCATTGTGTATAGGTTTCCCTAGTTTTAAATTGCAGCATTTCTTCTGATTGTTTGACGTTGTTTGCCAATGGACTTGAATTTTTTCCTCCAATGTTTCCAGCCACGTGTTTTCTTTTTAATAGCAGAGGAAAAGATTTGGCTTTTAATAAATATTTTAATAGTCTAAACACCAAATATGTGTTCCCAACATGTTGCTTGTGTAGTTGATAAGGAGTTGCATGTGTTCTTTTGAAAAGAAAAGTGACTTTTATATTTTTTTGCTGCATTAACTTTTTTTTTTCTGACGCTAATTTGTAAGGTCAGTTACTTCCTGATATTTTCTCTAGCTTTGTAAAGAATGTGATGACAGATGGATGCGTTAGGTGTGGAAGAGTGTCATCAATCAGTGCCCCAAGTTTGTGTCTGAGGGAGCATGGGGATGTCTCTTGATTTTGCAGCCACTCCTCTTCTCTGGCCTTCTGACAAGGGCCCCGTGGGCACACGTGGGAACCCAGGGCACTCATCTGTTCTCAGGGCTTCCAGTGGTTTCTCTGTGGTTTGTCCCCATGTTGAGAACTTGCATTTCCACCTGAGCTAATGAAGCAAAATCTACTGTTCACAAGATTCCCCCATGAGTTAAAGATCCTCAGGTGATTCTTAACTATAAGTTGTTCTCAAAAAGTTCATTAACACAAAATTTGAATATTTCTATTATAATTCTTAAAAAGCCTTCAATGTTAAAACTTTATTTTTAATTAAAAATGGCAATATAAATACCTGCCTATAGCTCTAACTTCAATGAGTTAAACGGCAAGAGCTACTTAATTAAAGTTGCTGAGTTTGAATGATTTTAGCTTCTTGTGTGTTTTTATGTATGTTAATGCCCAGTTAATCTCAACACATTTTTTGTCTTCTGGCTTTACAATTTATAAAATGCCTGTGGGTTTTTGAGACTTAAAAAAAAAGTTTTATTGACACAAGCTATATCAAAAAATTCAGTAGTTTAATCACATCAAGAAGAGTTGTACCATCATTACCACAATCAGTTGTAGAACATTTTCTTCTCTTTTTTTTGATCTCC